TCATTCTCCTACTCACTACCAACCAAGTGAAATGGTTTTGCACAATCCTAGTTGGACTCTACTCTCCTTAGCAGAGTCCTCCTAAGAGTCATTCTCCTACTCACTACCAACCAAGTGAGATGGTTTGCACAATCCCAGTGTGACTCTAACTCTCCTTAGCAGAGTCCTACTAGAAGTCTCATCACTGCAAGCCAAGTAAGATGGCTGAACCTTTTTACCTCGGTTATACATTCCTGACCGAGCTGCCTTATCTCGGTCCCCTGCTATTTGGACCGTGTGATCGAAAGCCGATCTATCGAATGCCACCCTGCCGAGCTATACACAGCTCGACCCTCACCACTGATATTACCTCGGTTTGCTACAGAACTTTCTTTACTTCGACTGTCATCTTTACCTCGGCTCTGTGCTCAACTAAGTAATGGAATAGAAGCATCGACCGAGCTATACCTAACTCGGCCATCTGTCTTACCAAACACCTCGATCAACCCTTGGGCCTAGTATTTAGGTAGCTCGGTCAACGCCCTTGCCCAGTTTGGTACTCAGATAAAAAGGGACCGAGCTACCCGTCGTCCATACTTCGGCCCTTATCTCTCCCCATTACGCGGCCCAGCTCCCAAAGAAGACTCTTCCTAGCTCGGCCTAATTTGTTTACAAATTACCCTGTCAATTATGATTACATTGTTTGTCGTCACTGCATACATGATAGTATTGATATTATAACGAAGTAATTTTCTTTAGATAACTAATTGCTATATATAACAAATTCAAACTTAAAAAGTGTTTTAATTTTTTATTAGGTACAATATTTCTTGTTAACAAGTGTGAGTGTGTGTTTTTTTTTTGTTTGGATTAAATACAATGTTAACATTGTGGTCAAATATAGTACTGGTTCAATAAATCTCACTATTCAAGATAAACGGGCAGACTTTATCTTGCTATGTCAACCATCATATTTGAAGAATATGAGATCAAAGGTAGAAAATTATATAATTTATTTTTACCTTTTCAAACATAATATTATAATTCTAAAATTTTACAGGATAATAGAGTTAGAATGATTAAAGATCATATTACATCATACTAAGACCATGCCTATGCATTTATCATATATGTACCAACAATGCTACGTCAACTAGATTGTACACCATACATGACCTTTGTTTTAAATATAGATTGGTCTAAAGAATATATATACATTTTAGAAGGTAAATATATATATATATATATATATAAGTATGACATTTTTACTTTATAACATTTTATAAATACATAATATATGTATTAGCCGCATTACCGTCGCAAAAGGCATTAGCGACGGCTTCCGGGAGCATTTGCGACGGCCGTTTACCGTCGCAAAAAACAAATTTTTTTGTAGTGAAATTTCAAACAAATATAATAAATTTTTGTTTTTATTACTTCAATTATAAGATATCAACATTTTCTTTTAAAATTATATATATTTTATACTAATAATTTTAAAATATATTTAATATAATCATAAATAAATTTTTTAAATCCAACCTCGTGCGTGTGCTATGCTGGTAAAAACAAATCTCAAATAGATAAAATTAAATTTAGAAGAAACTAATTGTATAATTTATTCCCAAAAAAAATTGTAAAATGCAATTGCAAATCTTAAAGGGCAAAATGTAAATTTTAAAACATGAAAGTTAAATGTATTTCTCATAAATAAAAAGTATTAAAAAGGTATATATATAATTTATTCATATTTTGTTATTATTTTATAATATTGTGATACAAGCAAGGCCCAAAAGGTTTGCTGGTGGGGCAGGGAAGGGATTGTGTGGCTCTGCTTTTCTTGAACCTTTAACTTGAAAAAAAACAAAGTTGTACCTTCTAAGAAAACTTAAATATTTTATCTATTTTTTGATTTTTTATAAAAAAATTATGAAAAAAAATTAGAGAGGTGATGTGATCTAAAAAATGATAAAAAAAAAATAGGTTTATATAGCGCACTCCAAACAAGCTTGTATAAAGTAAAATATTTAGAACTTGTTTGAAATGTATTGTATAAATACATTTTTTATTTTTTTTAAATCTTATTATTTCTCTACTTTTTTATCTATTTTTTATAAAAAATCAAAAAATATATTTTAGATCATTCAAATAATTCCTAAATCCTAAGCATTATTATTATTTATTTTTTTGAAAAAAAGTTCTATCCGAAGAAAAGTCTCACTTGTTGCCACCTGCTCTGAAATTCTGGATGACATGTGACACGTGTTAGGCTCTCGCCATTTTTACAGGTACCACGCGTCACCATACGAAATCCAACATCATTTCACACTCTCCTCCAAATTTCCATTTTAACCCTCCTCTCTAGGGATAACAACGATGGGTTTATACACCCAACCCAACTCGTATTATTATGGTGCTGTTTGGTGTAACTGTTAAAACAGATTATAAATTATAATTTAATATGTTATAGATTATGACTTTAATCAGAAACTGTTAATCTGTTTGGTATAACTGTTAGATTATAGATTTAACTTGCTGAGTAGTGTTTGTTAAATAAGCTGTGAAGTAGCTTTTTCAATTAATTTTTATTTTTTATTATTTACTATTTGTCTACATTTTTCATAAAAAATAATAATAATATTTAATAGTCCATTTGAGTCTTTTTCTATTTTTAAAAAAATAAAAAATAAAAAAATGTAAGAGTATAACCGTGAATTAACATGTCCACAGCAGAAGCTGATAATTAGAAGCAAGGGGTGAGCAGCTTCTCAGAATCAACTTTTTTGACTTAAAATAAGTTGTTAGAATCAGAAGTTGTTTGAAATAAATTAAACCAAACAGTCCAAAATAACTTTTTAAAAGCCAGAAGCCATAAGTTGGCTTAAAAAAGCTCCACCAAACACCCCCTAATATTCAGGGGTTTCACCTCTTTTGATATTAATTTAAACAATATTCGGATTTAAGAGTTTCATTTTGAGATTGATTTTAATAATTTGAATTATTTATTTTTTAAGACTTAAGATAATTAGATATTAATAGTCATATGTTTAAATCATGTTTATTTTTAAAAAATAAATAATAAATATAATTTTAAGGATAGGTATTTTTTTTTTACTACAAATTTAATTCAAACATATAGATATCGAGGTTTAATCTTATTTTTTTTGTACAAATATTCTACTCAAGTCTTAAAAATAAATAGTTTAGATCACCAAAATTGTTTTCAAAATGAGCCTGTTAAATTCAAACACTCTCTCAAAATTATTTAGGTTTCGTTTAGCAACTACATATTTTAATCAAAAAGTCACTATAAGTTGTCACATCACTCGCTCTACTTTCTGAATATCTTTTCATAAAAAGTCAAAAAATTACTAAAATAATTTGTTCCACCTTAAAGTAGTATAAATCAGAGACGAAAAGAGAATACATAAATTTGTAATTCTACGAATGAAAGAGAATTAATAAAAATAAGATATCATGGAATACTGTGATAATATTTTATAAGCGATGAGAAATAAAAATAAATCTTGAGTGGGTCAGCCAAAATAAGACGAGGAGAGAAAAAAAATTTCTCATCTCGCTTCCTAATCATAGGCAAAAAAAACTTGTGTAGAGCAAAATGAGATTAAAATAAAAGATGAAATGGTATGTGAACAACAACAATTGATGAATTGTAAGAGTTAAGAAAATTGAATATGAGAAATATAAATATCAAAATGAGAGACATATAAATATTTTGATGAATTAATTTTTTTTACATAATAAGTTATATTTTTCATATATAAAAATATATTTAATTAATGTAATCGAAAAGGGAGGAAGGGAGAAACCTGAATTGAAAAATGAATCTCGTCATTTTATGTTTTTTATTGGGATTAAAATTCTCCCCATTGTTGCAACAAAATCCAAACAGAAAGAACCCAAAGAACCCATGCCCAAGACCCGTTTGTTATCGGGTCGAGAGAATCAATGCTATGGTGCGGGGGTATTTATGGAATTAGATATAAATAATGTTAAGAATTATAAATATTTCACTAATATTTTTACCAAATATTATATCAAACTCACATAAAATTCACATAACATAAATCACACACTCATACAAAATATTTAATAAAATATTGATAAAATATTTAAATTACCTACTCTCTCTGTCTCAAAATAATAGTCTCTTTTGAAAAATTTAACTTTTTTTTTATAGTACAATTATTGCATTTAAAAAAAGTTAATTTTTTAAAATTACCTTTTTGATAATAACTTTTTAGGAATATTAATGTCATAATTGTATTTTTATATTGTTTATTAATTAAAAAAAAGGTAAAAATAAATAAAAAATTTATATTATTTTTGTACTTAATTTTTTTAAAAAAACTAATATTTTAAAAAATAAAAAATAAAATAAAAAATTAATATTTTGACATGGAAGGAGTATCATTTTTCATTACACGTACACTTTGGAATTTTCCACGCCATGTTCTTCGATTTTGTTGCAGTGGGCCCCGATTCTGACACGTGTGTCAATGATATTGCAGTTATAGATGGAGAAGGGTCGAGAGCCACTCATTCCAAGCAACACTTCTCAGCCACAAACTCACATCCAACTCACAATACTCTCTCTCTTCCTCATGTCTTCTGTGTACCTTTCTCTTATCTTTTTTTATTTATTTTTATACAGTACTTAATAATTAAAAAAAACATAATTTATTCGTAGATAAAATAAATAAGATTTTTAAATATGTATTTGTATTTTTTTTATTTTTAATATTTTAATTATGTCAACTTTTATATCTAAAGTATTTTAAAATGCATGCCACAACAAACATTGATATCATATTTAAGTTATATGATTACAAATACAACTTTTCTTTTTTAGTTTTCTTTTGCCAAAAAAGGAAAAAATTACACAAACAAAAAACAAAACAAAACAAGTAATAGTTGGGAATTAATTTTGAATACCAGATAAGGGTACACCAAAAATAGGTATTGGCTAAAATTCCTTTATATATTAAAAATAACTGAGGTATTATTACTATAGATAAGACTTCACTTGACAGCCTTGCATCAAACCCATAGCCGCCTCTGTTTTTCTGCTTGGAAAACACTGCTCTGTTTCTTCGATTCTAGCCAACCCATTGATCAAGTCATCCTTTTCAATCGCTTCCGTTCACTGGTTTTGTGTTTTTGCACTGATTCTGAATCTGGGTTGTCTTTACTTCTCTGATTAATCCATTTCAGGTGTGACTTCTTTCAATTTTCAGTTCAATACACAACCCATATGCCATCTTTCTACTTCTTTGCTTCAATCTCTACTTTTATCTGCAAATTTTCAAGTTTTGTGGCTAGGATTTGAACTTGATATGTGATTTGTTTGGCTTTTGTTATCTTCATGTTATTTATTTGCAAATTCATTTTTCAACATATGTATACACAAAGATTTATGTGGATCTGTGTGTATATGCTGATAATGGAGAGATTTATGTGTATGTGTGTATGTGTGTTTTTTTCTGCACTTAAATAATTAATTTAGGTGTTCATTTTCTCAATTCTTATCTTTTTTGGGTTTGTTCATATATGCTTTTTCTCTTTTGATAATTTCTCATGATTTGGCTTTAATACTTCATTTTTAAACATTAAAAATTAAAAATTTGCTCTGGGTTGGTCTCTGAATTATTGAAATTGAAGCTTATGCCACTTACCATTTTCTCTTTTATTTTACTGATTTGGATCTAAAAGTGGTTTTTTATTAATTTCGTTTTTACTGATTTGGATCTAAAAGTGGTTTTTTATTAATTTCGTTTTGCCTCTATGAGTTGGGTATTGTGAATTTTCTCAGCTTGTCGTTTCATCTTCATAGATTGTTTTGTTAATCCATCCCCTTTTTTTCTATTGTGTTTTTATTTAAGAATTTGATATTTTCCCCCTTTTTCATCAATTGATGTACTTGAATTTAAGCTTTGTTGATTGTGACTTTTATCTTTTCTGTTTCATACTATCGATTTCATCTATTTTAGTCTTCAAAGTTTCTAATTTTCTGCTAATATGGTCCAATTGGAAACGATTGTTCAAATCAGTATCCGATAAAGCCTAATTTTAGAGTTGTAATTCACTGTGTGTAGGTAGATCCATGGAGTGGTATTTTGCCATTGGTGTCGATGATCTCGTTGTTCCTAGAGATCAAGAACTATCGGACAGGCTTCCGTCCCCAAACAGTTGGTCACAGTGGGGAGAATTCACATCAGAAAACTTCAAGTCTGAAAACAAATGCTTTATCACTCAGACAAATTCGACTGGGGAAGAAGAACCTAAGTTCGGTGGGAAAAGCCTGTATGAAGAAGTTGACATGGACTTAACTTCACAGGAAGAGGAGCATTCTAGTGATTCGAATGCGTACCATAGTTTTCAGGAGGGTTCACTTCAGCAGGGTACAAGTCCATGGGAAAGCCCAGATTACCAGCTCAATGACTTGGCCGGAACCTATTCAACGGATGACAATTTCTTGTGCGTAACTTATAGCGTTAACATACTTGATTGGATCGTGTAGGAAATCTCTAGGTTATGATATGCCTTATTAGTAGTATGAAAAATTGTTCAATGGTGTCATTTCATGAAGGCTTAAAATTAATTTGATGTGATTAGAAGTGTTCCATTTTATTATTTTAGCCCAATTTTTCCATATCCAATGGATGACATCTTGTACAAGTGTAAGCTTCTTGATTTAGTCGTGTACAAACTCTCTAGTTTATGAAATGCCTTACTAGTAGTGAGAAAAATTGTTAATGGTGTCATATCATGAAGTCCTAAAATTAATTTGATGTGATCATAAGTGGCCTGTTATCTTGTTTTCGCCCAATTTTTTCATTCTTAAATTTATTTATAACATAACGGATTCATTCAGTTTTCATTTGGGCTGAAATTCCTTTGCTTCTTAGGGGTTTACCGTTCACCTATTTTTTTATTAGAAGGAAGCGGTGTCTTCTTGTTTCAGTATTCAATCTTTGCTTTTCCGTGTTTACAGGAGTTCATTGCTTGAAGAAGACCCAACTGGCATGGATTCTCTTGATGGATCATTTAACTTGTATCCCAAATTTGAACATGGTGTATTGCCCGCTGATGATCTCTTGACGGACATGATTATAGAATCCGACTATGATCCAAGTCACTTATTTGTCATGGGAAGCTCAAAGTATCTCAAAACACATGCCTCTTCTCCGTCAGTGGATTGGGGGCACGGAGATGTTGCGACTCTTCATACTTCTCGCAATTTGAGGCATAAAGATAACCCACCATTAAAGGTGAGATTTTCCATTTGTGTATTAATTGGAAAAGTTCGGATCTAGTTTTTAGCACCAAAGTTGTCGAACCTGGACTGGACCAGATAGTTGAACTGTTGGAACCTTTGGACGGTCTGGTTGTCAGGTTGATAATAAGAAAAACAAACCAGGTGCGTAAAAATACCTTTTTGAAAGCATTGATCCACTCAATTACTTATAATTATTTTTAGTTTGGTGTATCAGATCATTTAATTATTTTAATCCATATATACTGGAAATATCCATTACTAAAAGCATTGATCCACTTGATTACATTATAATTATATTTAGTTTCTGCATCAAATCATATACTTATTTTTCTCCATTCGTGCTATATATTGTATGTTGGTTTCTCTAGCATCACAGATTGTCTTTTTGGACCCAACGGTTGAACCATTCAGTCCATGAACTAGCGAAGTTATGGCATGATGAATGGCTCGGGTAGGAAGGGTTTTAATTGTAAAGTATTTGATTGTTTTCTTTAAGACCGACAGCAATAGACCCATAAGTAATCAAGTTTCATGGTTAAGGGAGCCTTGCCTTTCTTGAGTACAAGAGAAGTATTTATTAGGGTAAAATACACTTTCACCCCCTGAAGTATTGTCCGTTCCTCACTTTAGTCCCTAAAGAGAAGATTCTCCCATTTTGGCCCTTGAAGCATCTTACCCTTTCTACTTTGGTCCAAATTGTCAATGGCATGAATGGTTGAGGGGCAATTTTGATTTTTGTTGTGGTAGTGATGGTGGCCTGCGGTAGTCTGTGGTGAGGGTGGAGAAAAGGGGAGGTAGAGGGGAGTGGAGGGGTGTTAAAATCCACCTACTCTCCACCTACTTCACCCACTTAAACCTACTCCACTAAACCTACTCTCCACCTACTTCACCCACTTAAACCTATTTTTTTTTTTTTTTTTCCCTTGGTGAACAATCACTTATTCACATTTCCGTAGTTTCCCCCTGCGTATGGGTCAGTTTTGGGTCGACTCGTGCCATGTGGCATTTTCCATCACACAAATCTAATAGCTGTTGAAAATTGGACGACAGTGGGAAGCAGTAAATTGTTTGCCTAAATGACAGAATCTTCTTAAGGAGCCAAAATGAGAATGTAACATACCATGAGGGGTGAAAATGTAATTTACCCTATTTATTGTTGCAGTCTTTGTGCTCCTTGCTATTTTTTGTAACCACTGCCTTGAGAGTGCAGCCCGACCTCAAGGAAGACTACCTTTAGTGAAGAAATTCCCTGTATTTAAGCTCTGAATTTTCATGGTTACCTCTAGAGCTTATACAGAGTTTATAACTTCAAATAAAAATTTATTTTAGAAGTGGTTTGTAGATGAAAACAGGTTGATTTTGAAACTATTTCCCTCCAAAGTAGTCACAAGGGTACTTGTAGGTGTGACTAAGCATTGTAATCTTCTTTGTTCAGGCATTGGTTGCAAAGTTTGCACCCTCATCTGAGCTTGACATCGTGAACAGACATGTCGATGATGAAACAACACTGGAAGTATCTGTATTGCACGAGCTTGAAAGGGCAATGACTCAGGTGATTTAAGTTGGAATCAGAAGCTAAATGAATTTGTAAGTACAAAATACAATTACTTAAGAGAATTTCCTTTATTCTTCAGTTATCGAAGAAAACCAGAATTTGCTTTCGAGATGCTTTATACCGTCTTGCCAAGAACTCACAACAACAAATGGTGATTGATGACCAAGATCTCATCCCCGAAGAGCCCCCTCCACTGACAGATCATGACAAAACATTGAGGTACATTTTTTTTGTTTGCTTATTAAGTAATATAGTTTTTCTCCTATACTATATCATGATAGTTTAGAGAGGAAGAGTTCAGGTTGTGCCTTGGGTGAGCACAACCCGAGCAACCCAAGTTCAACCCTAAAAAACATTTTAGGATTTGGGAAGCATAATTTTAAATTTGGTCAGGGTCTTTGCTAAAATTTGCCATCTCAAATTAAATTTGGACAGCCCTGGGCAGGGATTCTCACAACGCGAATTCTATTGTTAATATATATAAATTATATATAATAAATATGAAATATTATAAATTATATATTATTTTCTCACTTTTTGGATTAAAGGGGTAGTATGTGAGAATGGAAAGAAGGGTTAAATGGTATAATAGTCATGGGAAACATATGGAACACACCCTTCAAAGGGTGTGTACTATATGCACCTTATAAGTAAAGAAAAAAATTGCATAATTTTATACTTTAACTAAAAAAAAATATATCATAATTAAACCCAACGTAAGGTACAACTAAAGATCTCATAAGTCATAATTAAAGAAGAAAATTGGTCATAATTAAAGGAAAAAATGACATAATTAGGAGTACATATGGTATACCCTTTTGAAGGGGGGTGTATATTAGAATTTCCCTAATAATTATTGGCTTCTTTTAGACTTTCTTTCTCAATGTATTCTGAACTCATTTGGTTAGCACCTAAATGAGTTATGATTCAATTAAATTGAATTTTGACTACTTGTTTGGTTGGTTGGTGGGTTTTTTGTTGACTTAATTACTTAAAAGTCTCCTTTTTAAGACTCATGCGAGATTAAGTCCTACTCCTCCCATAAGTTTTTTAACGTATAAAATTGCACTTTTAAATTATGTGCTTTTTTTGTTGGATGTATCTACTCTTGAATTAAACTTCAGGGATGTGAGATGAATGTCGGCATCATGCTCAGCATGAGTGCGCTAGAATTTTGTTATGGAGTTTCTTATTCAATGTACTCTGAAACTCTGCTACAATTTCTTTTACTAACAGCATAAATGCCTTGATCTATGAAAATAGTCATAATTTGGCAATCAGGGTAACCTGTTTTATTCTCCTCTTCCTGAAGCTCATGTTGTCATCTTTACTTCTCTTAAAATTTTCTACCGCATCATTTATTATTTTTTCCTTCATGTTAAATACAATTGTATCAGCAATGATATGTGCATAAAAGTTGACGCACACAGTATCCACCAATGTCTCACAAAATGTACAAATCGCTGCATTTTGTGCACACAAACTTTCTGTGCGCATAGGGTTTTGCATTTTTATACATGTCAAATGTTGAAGTTTCATTTTGTCGTGAGAACAAAGGTGTTGGTGTTCTTGTTGCAACAACAGATATTCACAAGGCTAATTCTATTCTCTCAGGTTGGAGGACACGAAAACTATGGAATCAGAGACGAATTCCATTGACAGGGCTGTTGCAAACCTCATGTTCAATAAGGTGGATTCGGGTGGAATAGATCTCCTCGCTGCAGTGTCATCCAAAGAGGAAGCTAAGGGAACAACCAAGCAGTGCAACTACAACTTGAATCAGCCACAACAACCTCATTGGCATCACCACATTGTCATCTTTACTTCTCTTAAAATTTTCTACTGCATCATTTATTATTTTTTCCTTCATGTTAAATACAATTGTATCAGCAATGATATGTGCATAAAAGTTTACGCACACAGTATCCACCAATGTCTCACAAAATGTACAAATCGCTGCATTTTGTGCACACAAACTCTGTGCGCATAGGGCTTTGCATTTTTATACATGTCAAATGTTGAAGTTTCATTTTGTCATGAGAACAAAGGTGTTGGTGTTCTTGTTGCAACAACAGATATTCACAAGGCTAATTCTATTCTCTCAGGTTGGAGGACACGAAAACTATGGAATCAGAGACAAATTCCATTGACAGGGCTGTTGCAAACCTCATGTTCAATAAGGTGGATTCGGGTGGAATAGATCTCCTCGCTGCAGTGTCATCCAAAGAGGAAGCTAAGGGAACAACCAAGCAGTGCAACTACAACTTGAATCAGCCACAACAACCTCATTGGCATCACCACACAAGAAGTTCAACTGGTGATGCCGAAGTTCCAATCTTCGGTTAAATGAAGCCACACTTGCTGCTGCAGCAAATAGATCCATTCAAATTTCTCAAGCACTGTATTGTAAGCGCTATGTAGTCTGTACATGCTGTCTCAACTAAACAGAGATGCACATTTCAGATTTCATGGAGTACGCGGACCTCTTTAAATGTGTATGTATATATATATCAAAGTGGTTTGTATTTGTTAACAGGATGTGGATTCTGGATGCATCCACTCAATTTTGGTTAGCACCTAAATGAGTTATATGTTTCTGTTAAATTGATTATTTTTTTTACTTGTTTGGTTGGTTTGGACTTAAATATGTATATATATGAAGTTGGGTTGTATTTGTTAGCATGATGTCAATACCTAAAGAAGTCCGAAACTGGGCTACTTCCCAAAAATGCTCCGCCGTTTGTTTGTTGTTGAAGCTGAAAATTTACTGTTTGTCGTTGGCTTTTGTTTTTATTTTTTGTTCTTATGTATTCCTGAAAGACAAGGGGTTGTCCCATCTCATTATAGAGTGGCAAATTATTGGACACGGTTGGAACTTGGATTTGAACTAGCATAGACGTCTTGCCAACTTGCCATAATTATTTTTAAATTATGCACTTTTGTTGGATGAATCTATTCTAAAATTAAACGTTAGGATGTGGGATAAATGTTAGATGTCACGCTTAGTTTGAGTGCTATTTGATAGGCGGCGATTATTGTGTTTGAAATTTTAGAACTTTTATATTATTTCTTCATTTTTATAAATTGATATTTAGGAACTCAATTTTTTGATATTTGTATTTGTTATGAAACTATTATGTAGAAAGAAAATCTGAGAAACTTATGAATTTTCTCAGTTTTACAAAAATGAGAAGTTTCAATGTTGGAAACCATTGGAGAAATTTTATAGGAGTATAGATCTTACTTTGGTAAAGAGAAAAGGATTGGAAATTCCATTATCAAGATATTCCTCCTAATAATGAGATTAGGTTAGTAAAAAACACATTTCATGTTTTAAACATGCTAAAATGATGAAGTGGTTTGTAGCATGGGTAGGGATGACAAAAGTTGACATGAATAAAGATATCGGCAACCATGATTATCAGAATTCTGATCCGGATCTTACGATCTTACGATCCATTTGAGTGCAACCGATTCGGATCATGTAAAAAACTCCTTATAGGTAGGATCTTTCGATCCTGGTAGTGGGATCTTATAGGATCGTGGAATCCCGATCCGAATCCGATCCTATCCGATCCAATTTACAAGCCTTGTTTTGTATTGTATGACATATTTTGTTGTAAATTTTATATTTGTTGTCTAAATATCAATTTATGTTGTCAAAATAAATAATAAAAATTAAGTAGTATTGAATCAAATAGACTAAGAAAAACAAATTAGGAAACAAATATTCAAATATTGCGGTAATTTAAGAAAATTAAATAGTCGGAAAAACAAACTTAGTTTTAGCGGAGTCTAAGAAGGGTAAGATGATTGTAATTTTATCCCAATTTCTAGAGAAATTACTTTTGTGACTCGAATCCACTCCACCAGGGATGCTAACGACAAACCTTATTATTCGACTAAGCTACTCTTTTGAGTTCTTAATCTATTTTCATATCCAATTTTGTTAAATATTTTTTCTTCACTTTTTATGCATTATTGTACATTGTAAAGTATTTTGTTATAGAATTCTTCTTCTTCTTCACCTTCTTTTTTGATAAAATACAGAACTTTTACCATCGAGTTTTCTATTGCATAATATTATATGTACATTTTACATGGAGTATTATATTTTTCACAATATCTTCAATTCTTTTTAATAAAATATAGGTTCATTTTGTGTATACTTTAAAAGAAATATTTATTTAAATTAAATTATTATGTAATTTGTTTTTTTCTGTAGGATCTTACGATTCTTGATCCGATTCTACGATCCGATCCTATAAACACCTCCAACGATCCAACGTAGGATCCCGATTTTAACAACCTTGTCGGCAACTAAACATGTAAAGGTTGGGTAACCTCTACTCCTGCCCAATTCCTACCCTCGTGTAGAGTTAACACTGATTTATCATCATTCCGTCTCAATAAAACTTTTCTTGTTAGTTTTACAATTTATATTTAGATCATTTTTATTTGAAGATATGACTTTAGAACTAGACTAATGATTTAATAAAACACAAATTCTCACGTTGGACTAAAAAAATTAGAATATAAACTAATAGTCCATTTGAACATATATGGAAACTAGCGAATGAGGGGATTCAAGTACAAAATAAGAAATTAAGGAGGGAATTGTAAAATGAGGGTGTTCGGCTACCAAATAGGAAATTAAAGAGACCAAACGTGACTAGAAAAAGCAACACATTTCATGTTTTAAAGGTGTGCTAAATGATGAAATGAAGGTAACTTAACATGAGTAGCGGTGCGTGGTAACAAGGTCACATGAGTAGCAATGAGAACTATTCATATAACCTCCACTCCCACCCAATTCATATCCCTCACATTCCAATTGAGCTTTTTTTCACATTTTAAAATTTTTACTCAAATATATAATCTAAACACAATCTTAATTTTACAACTTACATTAAAAACATTTGAACCCCAAGGATCAACATAAACAAACTTAAAGGTTTATCCATTGATTTGCAATGGGATTGCAAAGTAGTGGGCAATTAAAAAAAATTATACAACATATAGGGAGCCAAATAAAAATAAAAAATAAAATAAAATAAAAACTCGAAGGCCTAGTTTGGAAAGACTAAATAAGTGCATTTTTGACTTTTTTTGTATTATGTGTAGAAAAAGTAGAAAAGAGATGTTGATTGATGTGACCCAAAAAAGATAAAAAGATGAAATAAGTGCACTTTTTTCTTTGTAGCCAAACTTGACCTAAATGTTTGTTGTATGTTGTTAAAGCATATATAAATAAATAGATATAATTATGTATTTTTATAATATAATATATATATATATATATATAAAATACCTAATCAAGTTCTCATCCACTCTAAACTCACCCCTACCCTATTTAAAAAAAAAGAAATAAAAAAAATAAAAAAAACTCCACAACCCATACTCAACCAACTCCTTATGTGGAGACTATTTTTATTCTTTTTTGAAAATTAGCTTCTACTCTGTTATAATTTATTGAACGATTTATTTTAAAATCCACAATATATTAAGGCCAAGTTTGGGAAGACTAAAAAAGTGCACTTTTTGTCTTTTTGGACTAAAAAATTGAGGTTGAAAATATGGATGTTTGGGTTAACTTTTTGACTTTTTATTGATCTAAACTCACCCCTACCCTATTTAAAAAAAAAAGAAATAAAAAAAACTCCACAACCCATACTCAACCAACTCCTTATGTGGAGATTATTTTTATCTTTTTTGAAAATTAGCTTCTACTCTGTTATAATTTATTGAACGATTTATTTTAAAATCTACAATATATTAAATCCCATACTTTATGATTTAAAAATAAAAAAATAAAAAAAACTTAGAAAAAACATTTAATGTGAGCTGTTGTACACAACTTGGCCACCACAAACCAATGACCCCAAAGACGTGCGCGACCCAAACCTAACAAAAACACGTTTAGGCCTTTTACATCACAAATTCCAACTATATTCTATTATTATATATTTTTCAAATAATTTTGTAAGTTATACTAGCTAGCCAATAAATTTCAAATTTTGGATTAATTTGATAAAAGAATAGTTATTTATTCAATTTATGTTGCTGATGTATCTACATATTTGTATGAATTGGAACAAAAACTAGAAGCAGAAATGATGAAAACTGAGAAGAATTGAGCTCTCTCCAATTGGTTGGCGATCTAATGAGAGAGATGTTGAATTTGGTAAGCCTACATTGAAGTTCAATTCAAATTATTTTAAATTATTCATTTTGTAAAATTTATTGAAAAGAATATTTATAAAAAATTAAATTGATGGTACATGGATAGTCAAATAAGTAATTATCAAAAAAATATATACAAACAGTCTATTATCAAAACAATGTACCGTTTAATTTTATGAAACAAAATATTGTATCTACTTAATTTTTTAATTGAATTATCTTTCCAAGGAGTTTGAATCAAAGCAAAATTCAGTATGTTTGGTTTGAGTTTTCTGGAAGTTTTTTGAAAACTGAATTTTTTGGTTTTCGTATTTTTTGTTTTTAGTGAATATTTTTAAAATTTTAAACATTTTTTTTTACTTTTTTAGATGCACCTTACTTAGATATATCTAAAAAGTAAAAAAATTATAAAAAAATATTTTTAAAAATTAATAAATATATAAAAATACAAAAAATGTACTTAATTCTTGTATTTTTTTTTTATATTTTTGGTATTTAGTGAATTTTTAAAAGATTTTTTTAATTTTTTTTTTACTTTTAGGATATATTTATGTTAGGTGTGTCTAAAAAGTAAAAAAAAAAATCTTAAAATATTAAAAAAATTCAATAAAAATAAAAAATCACAAAAAATAAGAAAGTCAAAATTTTTAAAAAGTATTTTTTAAAAAATGAAAACAAGCTTATTTGGATTTAGTCCAACAAGCCCAACAGCCTATTTCCTGTTGGATTACCAATGTGAAGGGAAGCCATCTTCAATTGAAAAACTTAAAAATAAATAAAGAAACTAGTTATGATTGAACTAAATCAAATTGGACAATAACTTTGACAACTTAGAAAGTCGAAATTGGCTGTAAAATTGTAATGTATACTATCACATAAAATATAGAAGTGAAAAATAGGAAAAAGAGGCCGCCCCCATTGGAGGTGACCCTCAGCCCCAATGGGGTGCGATTGATGGATAATTTTTTTTTTTTGTTTTTTTGGTGCACATCCTCTCCCGTGGAAGTGGGGTGCTGGGGTCACCCCCCACTAGGGGTCCCCAGCACGGTTGTGAAAAATAATACAAGATTTACCATATCAATTGAACTCAAGCATGTACCATTCATACCTTTATTATTTTTCATCATCTTCAGAATGGGGAAATTACATTAAAGGGAAAAACTCATCAAAATATGACACACTTCTGTATCTTATAACTAAAGAAAAAAATAGTATAATTTTATACTTTTTAAATCATAATTAAAAAAAAATTAATAATCAAAGGCATAACAAAAGAAAAATTATAATATACACACTCCATGAAAGGAGTATATTACATGCATCCCTAATTATAATAGTATTTTTTTTTTAATTATAACTAATTTTCTTATTTAGTTATGAATCCTGAGATTTTTAATTATTATGCTTCAATATTTGATTATGATATTTTTTTTAGTTATAGCTTTGAAAATATATAATTATGTTATTTTTATCTTCAATTATTAAATGTATACAGTGTTTTTTCATCTCTCTAAATTTTAAAATAATTTTCAATTTGAATTAACACTGCCGGTTGCTGTTCTGTTAAATTGCAATTCCCTGAAGGGGCCCGCGAGGTAATCAAACCAACAACCCGAAACCCTCCTTACCACCTAACCAGATCATCTACTTTTTGACTATTTTCCTCATTTTTCTTTGTTGTCATTGCCCGAGTAAAAAAAACACAAAAAAAAAGACATTATACATGAATTACAAGAGAACCCAAATTCGGATTGTTCTCAATTCTGATCCCCCACCTCACCCATATAATCAACCAATCAATCTTTCCTGAATCTTGAGTTTTTGTTTTGTTTTGTTTTGATTTCTTTCAAACATTCCCTAAATACCAACATTCCAATATCTGTTTCAACATAAAATTGATTTCATCAATCTAAGGTCTGTATCCTGCCCTCTTATTTCAATTTTCATGGAAAATTGTAATGTTGTTTTCATATGCTCTCTCTTTCTTTGAATCATTTATCATTGTGGGAGTCAATTAGTTTGAATTTTCTTCAATACCCATTATGCTTAAATGCAGAATTGAAGACACAAACATGATTACATTATAAGTACCAGCTTTTCTTGTACTGGGTTTGAAATTCTTGACCTAAACATGTCTATCCAGCAACAAAATACCCACAATATTTCTGGTAATCTTTGCTTCTCTGTTGATAAAAATTTGTGCTTTTGTCTGAATCATTTTTATGATTGTTAGGTCAAATAATTTGAATCTTCTTCAATCCCCCATTATGTTTAATGCAGAATTGAAGATACAAACATGGTTACAATTATGGTTGTAGTAGCAGCCTTTCTTGAACTGGGTTTGAAATTCAGGACATAAACATGTCTCTCCAGCAACAAAATACGGATTCCAACAAAGTTTGTGGTAATCTTTGGTTCTCTGTTGATGAAAATTTATGCTTGTTTGTTTTGTTCTTTAAATATTACAAATATTATTTTGTCTTTCTTACTGGTAACGTAACTCATGGGTAATTTTGCATATATGTGATATTAGGATTGTTACAAGAGTAAACAAGGACTGGAACTGATTGGACATTTGTTTTATAATTTATTTTGTGAATTGTGAATTAAATATATATATATATATATACATATATCTAGGTTTGGAATGGTAGAAATCAAACAAAAGTAGCTTGGATTGGAATTTTTATTTTGAATTTTGAATTTTGAAAATACTCCAGCTCCCATTAATCAATTTAGACAGCATTGAGAGTCAGGAACCATTTAAACTCACTTTTGTAGTTTGGAGACTCAATTGAGAAAATTAACAGATTGAGGTGAGGACTAAGTTCAACAAAGCACATGGTTTATGGACCATTGGTGTAATTACTCCTATTTGTTAATGCTTCCATGAGTCCAACTACAAACTACGAACATTTTTTATTCATTAGCATCTTTTCCCCCATTTAGAAGGCCGAATTTCATCATTTCTCTTAACCTATTTCGCTACAATTTTGTTGATCAATCTGATCTGCCAAGGGATTTGTTTACTGATTTCTAGCTGATTATTTGAAATATATCAATGTAGACAGTGGTAACCCTTTCCACTCATGTTTACTCTATTAATAAATTCCACCAAGGATTGGTACCTTTAGGTATTTCTGATGCAGAGTATTCTTCTTTGTTAGTTCATTTGTGTTGAATTGCCACCGCTTTAGGGGTTTTTCAGGTATTCTCATTATCATTCTAGTAATTCCTATGCCATTGACTCATTGAGATATATTTATTTGGGTCGATCATGCAAGCAATTACAAGTCTTACATTATGTATCTTTCCATCCTATTGAGAATAATTAACTCTCTACCTTCTGATACATGTCTTGACCTTGCTGATTTCGTATCACGTCTTTTTTTTAAGGAAAATAGCACTTCTTCGTAGTTCTTTTTACTCCAATTTAAGTCCATGAATCTTTTGGTTTACTTGGTTGCAGTAGTATCAGTATGTATGATTTCATATGCATGACATATTTGGTTGTTTGCTACCTAAGAATCTCTATTTATTTATAAATATCATTGATATTTTTTTAACTCGTTTTCAAATTTTGATGATGTGAGTATGTGTTCCTTTTCTCATGATTAAATTGGTTCTATTATGCTCTGTTAGCTTTTTCATGCTCTGTTAGCTTTTTCTTTCTCATCTGGACGAACTTGATTACTTACAACTGTTCGTTGCTTGTCAAAGCTGGATGATTATTACAGTTCTATATGTTCATTCATCTTAAAAAGCAAGAGATAATGCTCCTAGGATTACAAATTGAGAAAATTATTGTACTCAGTCATGAAAAAACTCTATATTTATTGTTGTTGTGTCAGTATTTGATTAATGATGGTGTACTTATAGGGTCGGGATCTTGCCTCTATGACCTCTTATGTGCGGACCCCTCCACAAATTGGTATTGCCAACAGAGAGACGGTCAGATGCCTTATTTTGGTAATTCAGCTTTAATGTTCGTCTTTCTTGTTCTAATGTTATTTTTTAATATTTTGTTGTTTCATCAATATTTTTGCCATGCATATATTTTACTTTCCATACCCCTAACCAATTTAAAGTGTGTTTGCTTCATCTCAACTAGACAATACTATGGATACACCATCAAGAATATAATAGGGAAAATTTTGGGAAATCCAATAACATTAAACAATTTGATCTATTTGTATTACTCAAGGAGTATCGGTATCGGATACTTCTTAATTAATTTTTCATTAATTTTAGAGTATCGGATACTTAATTTTGAAGTATCGGATACTCCAAGTCATGTTTACTTGTTTTATGAAATTAGAATTGTAACATTTATTGCATAGTAATAGAATGTAATATAATTGCAAGTATAAATATAAGAATATTTTTTTAATACTTTGTTAAGTTCTTCGATAAGAAGAGCATAGTGAGTTAAAAATAGAATTTATCAAATTGATGTATCCTAATTATTTCTTAATGTCCCCTATAACTACATAGAAACTAAGAATTAACAAAAGAATATAACAATGGTAAAATTAAATATCAATAAATAAATAAGCAAGTAAACTTGAATATAATATTTTTCACTAGTGTCAAAGGAAAAAGCATAGGGACAAGTTGTGAATTGTTCTATTATTGTAATATAAATATATTAAACTTGATACTGAAATGAAATATTTGCAAGACCTATAAAAAATTTAAAAAGTAAACAAGCTACTAGCTTAAATTAATACAAAATTCTTAAAGGATAGTATTGTGCATTATAAAATTACATTGTGATTTCTTAACATTCTTTAGCTTATGTGTAACTCACTATTAATAATTTTAAAAAATATATTTTCCACAAACGTATCCTAGCGGTACCCGTATCCTATTTTTTTAGGTTTTCTCGTATCGCCGTATCCGTATCGTGTCGTATCCGTATCTCGTATCCGTGTCTATGCTTCCTAGGGTGTTTGGTGGGGGACTAATTGCTTACAATAATATTTTCCTTTTTTTGACAGATTTAAGTTATTTTATACTCACATGAGTTACTGTTCTTGTCAACTTTTGTGTTATCTGTTTTCTTCTGCTTTACTACCTATATCATTGTGAATTCATAACTATTCCCTCCATTGAGTGATTTCTCAAACTCATCATATCTGTCATATGGTTTTGATTCTCAACAAAAGCATACATGTTTGTCTCGTAGTAATTTACTCATCTGCTATAATGACTATGCTAGTCTTATTGTTCTCTGAATTGTATTATATTGTATGGCTTCTAGTAGAAATTTTCACTTCTATAGTTTGTTTAACATTATGTGTATCTTGCATAATCCATGTCTTATCAATCAGACCCACAAGAGAGGCTGAAGAATCTGTTGCGTCATTCAGGCAATGGGTTTTGTGCAGATTGTGGATCTCCAAATCCAAAATGGGTGTAAGTATCATGTCTAATATTTTTTGCTGTCTATCTTTTCTTTATGCTTGATCCATCAACCAATATATTTCAATATCAAATGTGCCCTTTTTAAAAAGAAAAAGAAAAAAAAATGTTTTCAAGTGTCGTGGTTTTTGTCTTTCTTATGTTGGTGTTTTCCAAATCATAGTATCTGTTGTAACTTGTAAGTTAATGATAGCAGTACAAGTTCTCCCTTTTTGTAAGTGGTATTCTTTTGGAATTGTTAATGTATTCATTGAAGTCAAAATCACTGTGCTAAATTTAGGAACGTTATGAGCCTTGTACAGTTTCAATGTTGTCTCTTCAATTTCATTGAATTGGGAGTCCAATATAATCTTCCTCGGGTTATATATGCACTTTTTGTTTCAGGGAATGTAAGCATTTTTTCAAATTTCCCTTTTGCACAGGTTTTCTTATGATCTTATCATTTGGTGGTTTCAGGTCTTTAAGTCTTGGAGTATTTATTTGTATAAAGTGTTCTGGAGTACATAGAAGCCTTGGAGTGCATATATCAAAGGTATGGTGTATCTTTTAGTTTTGGATCAATTGACTCAGTTGCTTAAGAAAGGAATAATACATTCTTAGAAATTTAATAATGATAAGTCATCAATAATAGATTTTCTGAGATATGAATCGTATGATCTAGTTTGGATATATACTATGAATTATAACATTTTTCAAGTGATGTCTTGCCAAGAAAAGTTATAAAAAAATAAAACAAAAAAGAAAAAGAAAAACAAGTGCTCGTCATAAAATGATCAGTGAGATACCAAAGCTCATGGAGCCTTAGGGGATAGTTGAAAAAACAATCACTTCGATTCCAATGTGTTGGTCCAGATAATGTTTATTGTCAATACAAGTGAGCAAATTAATCTTGCTAGTTGAAGCTTTCTTTCCTATTGCACTCCGAGAAAAATGCAAGATGATTGTTATTTAACCGAGTACATCATTATAGCAACAAGCATTTGAATTTTCCCATGCTGAAGCTTCTTTCCACATTGCACTCCAAGCAATCCAAAATAATTGTTGTTTAACCAAGGAAGTCTTTGCATGTCTTTCGCTCTCTCTCTCTCATGCACATGCATGTGCACATACACACCTAGAGGTTGTACCAATTAAGGACAAGAGAAGAGAAAGTTGTCTAAGATAGTTCACTCAGGTGCAAAGCACCAAGGACCAATTGGAGGATAGAGTAAAATATTTTTCCAGAAATTAATAATAGCCCTCAGATCGTAATCTAACAACTTGTGTGAAATGGAACCACAACAGGCTATATTGCAAAGTAACCACCATTGTACTACCCGCTTTTTTGCATGTCGTCTTTTTTTTCTTTTGAAGATTGCAATTGGATATTATGAGAAGATGCGACAGCATCACGATGCAGTGTGCTTACAGGATGAGTTTATTATCCATTTGATGTTTATGCCCATAGGTTGTATCAGTAAAGCTAGATGAATGGGTGGATGAACAAGTTGATGCTTTGATAGAACTGGGTGGAAACAATGCAGCAAATTTGAAGTATGAAGCTTTTATTCCCGAACATATCAGAAAACCAAAACCAGATTCCTCTATAGAGGAGCGCTCCGATTTTATTAGGTAAAAAAAGTACCGCACTTTTATAACTTTGTACAGGCAAGACATACTGTTCTGAATCAAAAACCCCATTTACTATGATATTCAGGAGAAAATATGAGCTGCAACAATTTTTGCACTCAGATGAACAGATGTCTTGTCCATTTCCTGGTTCGTGTTCATCATACTCCTCTTGCAGCTCCTCAGGCCACAGTTCTGGTTCAGTCATGGATAAGAAACATTATGAGAAGCAAACAACCAGTCATCGCATCCATGGCCTTGGGCACGCCTTTCGTAATAGCTGGAGAAGGAAAGAGTCTGAGCACAAAGCTACTAAGAAGAGTAACTCAATGAGTAACTCAATGGTAATGATTTTCTGTTTAATTTTTTCTTTTTCTTTTTTCCTAACAACAGATTATATATGGGTCTTTGGATTCTGATTTTATTGGGAAATTTGTTCTTGTTAAATTTGCCAGTTGAAAAAGAAAAAAAGAAAAAAAAAAAGAGAGTAACTTTAAAATATTGTTTGGTTAAAGAAAATTGAGAAAAGCATATCTTTCAAATGCTTTCCCTTATCCTTCACCTTTTTACTAGGAAGAAATTGGATTTTCACTACTGTTTAAATTTTAATTTGAAACAACCTTCTAAGGTATAATTTTAAAGGAAAATGCTAATGACAGCCCAATGGGCGTCGGTTAAGGTTGGAAGTTGTTTAAAATGTATATTGAAATATCTGTAAAAAATGTATAAAAATATATAAAAGTGTATGGTTGTGAAATGTGTATTGAAATTCTAACTTTTTCGACATCGTTTGAAGATTAACCACCGCCCATTGTGTTGGGCCTTAAAATGTGTCAAGCAATGCCATTTTATCACCATGTTAAGTTGTCAATTTGACTTGGATGCTGATCGTACTGATGTAATATAATATTTATAGGCAGGTATGGTTGAATTCGTCGGATTGATAAAGGTCAATGTGGTCCGAGGCACCAACCTAGCTGTTCGAGACATGGTGACTAGTGATCCTTATGTCATCCTCTCATTGGGACACCAAGTAGGCTCCTTTCCTTGATGAACTTCTTTTCATTATCACTATATATATATATATATATCTGAAAAGGGTTGGGGAAGTAGAATCTATATTCATTATCACCATATATCTGAAAAAATGTGAGGAAATAGAATCCAAATATCTAATAATTGAAATTTCTCTATGAACTTGTTGCAGTCAGTGAAGACACGTGCCATAAAGAACAACCTGAACCCAGTCTGGAATGAACAGCTGATGTTATCAATTCCACAAAATATTCCTCCTTTAAAGTTGGTGAGTTGATTCTTTAAAGGATAAACTAATTTCATATGTAAACACACATTGATCGATCACTGCACTTCTTCTTATTCACATGAAACTCATTGTTAGCATGCTTTGTAACTTCAGATGTGCCATTTCGTGCAAATATTTTGTCTTTGTTGGTAATTTATCAAGATTAAAAACATTTTGGATGGTTATTTCCAGCTCGTGTACGACAAAGATACATTCACAACCGATGATTTTATGGGGGACGCGGAAATTGACATCCAACCCTTGGTCTCTGCTGCCAAAGCCTCGGAGAGTGCGTCACTCGGGGAGCCAATGCAGCTAGGAAAGTGGGTAGCAAGCAAAGATAACACTCTAGTAAGAGACGGTATCATCACCCTAGAAGATGGGAAGGTAAAGCAGGAAATCATTCTCAGGCTGCAGAATGTTGAGAGGGGAGTGCTAGATATCGAGCTTGAATGCGTTCCTCTCACTCAATAGCCCATTCAACCGAAGTTGCTGTGAAACTCTCTGCAAAAGTGACCCTCTTGATGTCAAAATCTCATGTTGTTCTTTAACTGCTGTATTTCTAGCTAAGAACAATTAGTGGTGTTTTTTGGATATTTTGCTTGCAAATTGAAATAGTCTTGTCTCATTGTTTAGATTAATGGGCATGGAATTGAAAAATTGCCCAACTAAATGAAATTGATGCATCCAGTTGTGTAATTATTGCAAACAAAGCATTGTTCTGTCTCATTCTTTGTAAGAAATGTTTTTGAAGGAATTTAAAAGGAAATGTTCTGTTAGCCGGGTTTTATGTTTTTGTCATGTGATTGAGATTTCCTTTTGCACCAGCTTATAAATTGGTTTTTTATTTTCGAGTTTATTTTCATTTTTAGTGATTTTTTTAATAATTATTTCAGTTTTTTTTAAAAAAAAATTATATCTTTAATTTTTTATAAAGAAAAAAATCACAAAAGACAAAAATAAGTCAAAATTTATCTCAAAAAAAGGCAATAAAAATTGGTTATTATTGTCTTTATTGAACTTTTTCTGTTTTTTATTTAAGGATTTAGAAAGTATACTCTCTCTGTCTCATATTATTAGTTCATTTTGTTATTTTTTTATGTCCCAAAATAGTTGTCCATTTTGAAAAAGGGTTCAACTTGTCTCCAGTTGGAGATCAAGACTAGACCGTCTAGTCCGGCTCGTAAGCCTATTTTGAGTCCCGTTTTGATAATCTGAACCATTCAATATGTAAAATTTGTCAAGTGATATATCTCTATAAAAAATCACGTTGATTGGATATAGATAGCTATTTGATCAGATCAGTTTCGTATAAAAAAATAAACGGTAAAAAAATAAAAGGTTGACAAAAATATGATCCGATCAAATAGCTATTGATATCTGATCAATGTGATTTTTATAGGAATGTAGTACTCGACGAGTTTTATATATTGAACGATTCAAATTATCGAAAAGTGACCCAAAAATAGGCCCACAGGCCAGACCAAACGGTCTAGTCTTGATCTCTAATTGGAGACAAGCTGGACCCTTTCAAAAATCCAAGCATAAAATTTTATATTATTCCAAAATTACCCTTTAAAAATGATTGTAAATATAATAATGGAAATAAAGGAGCAATATGATGAATCAATATCTTTTGATTTGACTTTAAAACAATAATTACATGTTCTCTTAAAAAGTTAAAATTTTCCAAAAGGGCCAACATTGTGGGAGAGTAATATTTTGACTCAATTTATAAAATATAGTTAAAAGAACTTGTTCTTCCTTACCCAATTTAATACCAACGAATTTCTTGTCACCACCATATAATATTCATATTCTTCAAACATTTGTTCTTTGTATAGATTCTCAATCACCATTCCTGGCATGAATATGGGTTACGCTCGAAAGATTACAAATTGATTGGACTTGCCAATCGAATGAAACATTTGTTCTTTGTATAGATTCTCATTTAAACCAGTAAATTTTCATCAAGGAAATTCAGGCCCATGGTTGGAGTTGACATATGTAGATGTGCACTTAAAGAAAACCAAGCACGCCAAGAAAATAGCTTAGACAAAAATCAGTGGGAAAAATAAATAAATAATTGATCAAATTAATGGTAATTCCATAATATTCCATTCTATTGGAAACAAAAAAATAAAATAAAAATTTTAGAATCATAATTCTAGTGAAGGCAACCCATGGACCATACTGTTCCCCAACAATGAATGAATTCAAGGACATACATACACCCCTTTTACAGCTTTGTTCGATCGCTTAGTCCAAGTGGCTAAGCGACGAAAAATAATTTGCATCCAAAAAAACATACATATAAACTCAAGAAACTACTCAAGCACAATGTTGTTTACAGGGACAGCATGATGAAAGTGGTTTAGAACATTTTAAGGAGTTTTTTGCTTTTTTAGCAGTTGGCATGGAGAGGACTTCCAAAGATGGGGAATAACCTCTGCTTCCATTATAAAATTTGACCAAAAATTGCTTTGGAGACTATTTTAAAACACAAAATGATAATAAGATTCTACTACATCAAGAAAAAACAGTTAAAACCAAAATCATGAACTCACAACTCCCTTCTAAGGTGAAATAATAAGAAGTTGAAACCAATGTCATTAGATCTCTTATATAAATAATTTTTAAAAAATTAAAAAAAAATCATACGATCTTTATTCTAACTAAAATAATAGGATTTTAAATTTTAAAGTCTAAACCTCAAACCTCTAGAGCTTGCATATACAAAAAATCACAAAAAGAACAAAAGGAGTTATATCATAAAGAAACACTGTATAAAAGTATTCAAGTGTTGCATTTTTCCAAGCCCAGGATGAAATTAAAGGGTAATTCTATGTTTTAATTTATGATGAAATGGAGGTACCAGATAAAATAATGACAGGAGGCCACAATGATGACAGAAACCTAGGATCAAATTTCAAGTTTAAAGGAGGTAACAAGAACAAGAGCAAGAGACAACAAAAGAAGATAAATGATGAAATGAAGATTAAAGAATGATTAAAATTTGTAAGATGAGAAGTCATGTGTTGTGAACTCTACACACAAAAATTATTTTTTTTTTAATTAAAAAAAAAGAAAAAAAAAGAAGAAGAAGAAGAGAGAAAAGAAGGAAAAGAAAAAGAAAGGCAGTGAGGGTTTGTGTAACACATCCCTGCCTTGATGGAAGGACGGGGGAGATGGGGAGGAGGAGAACAAAACACCGGAAAAAAGGATAACCTGACCAAATGTAATTGAACCGTAAAAACATTATCAAAGAAATTGCCCAAATATGCAGATGGAGCCTGCATGACAACCCAATAAAATAAACATTGATAAATATAGTGAGGGAAGCCGAGGAAAGAAGAAATCCCTCAGATCGCTCAGATCTTCCTTGAGGCAAGGGCAGGGAGAGGGGGTAAAACAAAATATTAGCCTATTATTTCCCTAAATTTTGTTTTCTTATTTCAGAATCCAACCCACCCTAATATTCAACCTCCTGAAGAAGGCCCAACTTTAATCCCCAGAAAAATCAATTATCAAGATTCTATGATAGATTGTTTTTGGACATGTTGAGTGTCTAACTAGCGCAATCACCAAAAATTTCATGCAACATAATCCATGTAAAGTTATACTGACTTCCTTGGAGCAAATTCATAATGAAACAACAAATAAAACCTTTCCTTGGAGCAAATTCATAATGAAACAACAAATAAAACCTTCACTTGTATGACGCTGGATTAACAACTCAATAATACAAGTCTAACATACAGAACCAAAAACTTCCGTGAATAACAAAGCCAAAAATTAGTAATGGTATTCCATCCAAAAGAATATTAAGCATTGTTCACACAGATGGCAATCAAACATTGCTAGTATAAAGTTCAAAAAATACTCAAAACCCGTTACCATGAAGGTCGTAGATTCAAATCCAAGACTTGAAAAACGAGGATAAATTACATGATCGTATTATGTTGTCTCATATATTTTAAACCAAAAAATTGCCAACATTTCAGCATTTATAAATTGCTTAGCAATTAGAAAACCTTAAACCAAAAACCTGTAGGTAGACATATGTCACAGCATTTGCTGCATTAAGAGTTACATTATTCACCAAATTTCAACATGGGCAGCAAATCACATGCTGCACAAACATAGGAATCATTTGTACATTTTTATAACAAATACAACTACATATATAGGGAAGCAAATTTACAATCCACAACGATGGAGAAACACTCCAAAGTATGATGTTTTGGAAACCATATATACAAGAAGCTGTTACAGCTAAAAAACACACTTTTTATTTAGTTATGTTGATCAGAGAGAGGATCAAAATATAATCCCCCGGACAACAAAACTACAAACTCCACTCACTCCAATGAGATTTTGAATCCAAACCATAGGTAGACAGTAACATCAATTTTGTAGCAAAAGTCTTCAACAACCATCAAGCAAAAACAGCAAAACATACGCACCGAAGACATGCCCCAATTGGAAGGGGAGCAAATTGCAATCAAGAACAGCAAGTGGGGCACCGAATCAACCCGTTTTCATTGCATTCCAAACACCTCTTCAACTGTTCCTCATCTTCATCATAAACCTTCCTGCTTCCATTGCAATTCAAGCAGGGAACGAACCTCGCATCCCCACATCCCCCGCAAACGTACCCAGGAGCTCGAATTGGAAGCCCCTTTAGCATCTTGGCCAAATCACCGACCTCGTCGAGCTGTTTGATCACATCAGCCCCTCCAATGTACCTCCCTCGAATGAACACTTGTGGCAAAGTCACATTCTTTACACCCAAAACGCTCATCAACTCTTTCCTAAACGCCGAATCCATCGAAATATCACGCTCGTCAACAATAACCCTAAATCCCCTCAATATCATCCTCACAGCATAGCAATCTTCGTATGTCCTACGAATTCCTCGTAAACTAGTGAAATACACAACGATTCGATCTTCCGTACCCTGTAACCGAATCGAAGAGTTGGGTACCAATGGAGAAACCCAAGAATCGAAACCCAATGATTTTCCCGATTTCAATTTACTCGGAGATGGAAACTGAGTCTGCGGTTGTGAACCGTCTAGAACCGAGGTTGGGGATTTGGTGGATTCGAATATGCTGCAGAGCTGTCTCACCTTTCCTTTGATCGAATTCTTGGCCGATTCAAACGGTGAATGAATTTTCTTGATCGATCCATTGCGTTCGAGAGAATAGTGAGGGTAGGGTTTGTTCCGAAACTCGCTCGGCGTTACATGCAAGGTTAGGGACCGATTGAAAACCGATGGTTTTGGATTGTCAGATAATCCGTATCGATCGTCATAACCAGCCATAGTTATAATTCAGAAAGAAAAAAAAAATGAATCTTTTGATCTTCTATGATCAGGGTTTCAAAATAATCGAAAAGAAATGATCAAAGATCGATTAAATTTAGGGTTTCTGCGGCTGTGGAATTGGAAGTCTCTCTGGTGGCGGAGGTTGGTGGTGGGCGGTGGCTGCTTTTGGAAGGGGGTGGCGTGTATTGAGAGCAACTTTTTGAAATCGAAGAGAGAGAGAGAAAGAGAGAGATTGAGATTGCGCGGAGCTTTTGCTTTTGAAAAAAGGGATTTTCAAGCCATCTATTGATGATGATGTTGATGACGTTAAGCAGGAGTTTTTTAACAGGTAAAACCTCCCAAAGGAGATTTGTCTTACAAATTTATTGTGGTTTTGTTTCACATTTTGAAAATTACAGCTCATCCATGAGGTTTGTGTTCAGTATATTTTTTTCTTTTTTAGTTAATACATTCATGTAGATTAGATTTTTATTTAAATTACCAATATACCCTCACAATGTGCCTAAAATATGGATTGATGTTAGGGGTGAGCATGGTCCGGATTGGATCGGATTGGGATAAAACCAGGACCAATCCGTTATTTACGGTTCCTGAAAAATTGGAACCAATCCAATCCGTTTAAATCATGGAACCAATCCGAACCAATCCATTTAAATACGGATTGGATCGGTTTAGGACCACGGATTCACATAATTAAATAGCAAAAATATATATATATAACACTTGAATTTCATAAAAATATAAACATAACACTATATTAGTTCCATAATAGCAATATGTTTTTCTATAATAACGACATACTGTTCTATAATTTAAACAACCATAAGAAAACTGGTTTCACCATAAGTATTTAGACCATTGCAAATTAAAACTTAAAACTAACAAACAAAAGTAATAAAAGAAGATATTATACGGTTTTAGGTTTGAGTTTAGATTTTATATAGAATAAGAGAAGATACTATGGGGGAGGTTGTATAATAAAAATATAGACTATTTGTATACGGTCCGGATCGGTTCCAATCCGGAACCGTGGGATTCAATCCGGAACCAATCCGTTAACTACGGATTTTTAATTCTTCAATCCGGAACCGAACCGCGGATTCAAAAAACCAATCCAAACCTATCGGATTGGACTGGACTGGATCGGATTACGGATTTCACGGATTCCTTGCTCAGCCCTAATTGATGTATAACCTTTCTTATTTGTAGATGGAAAGTTGAGCAAATTTCACAAATGGTCCTTACGATTTCACTTGAGTTTTAATTTGGTTACTATCATTTCAATTGTAACAAATTTGTTCTTGAATTTTTGTTTTTTTTATGTCAATTAAAGACAATCACTAACCAATGTTAAAATTTTGGACATAAAATAGTCATGTGATCATGTGAGCTGTCTTTATAATTATTTTCGGTACCAACAAACACCCTCCGCCACCTCCCTTCACCACAAATGCACCACCAAAATTTGTTGCTACACATTGTCATCCATTTTCCTAATTACCACCAACTACTTTTTCTCTTTCTTCGTTGTTCCCTTTGGTCTTCTACGATTAGGGTTTTAAAAGCCTAAGTTTTGGGATTATCGAGCATTTCTATTTGAACCTCAATGTCCGACCAACATAAAGTAATTTTTTTATTTTTATGAAAGAAACACCATATTGATCAGAATTTCATGGTTTTTAAAAACCCTACAGTCTCTTCTCTTGCATCAATTCAATATAATATTGAAAGAATTTTGTTAGAAATTTATGAGGGGTGGACATTGATTGGGGCTGATATATATTACTGGGGATGTGAATCAATCGCTCATTTGACAAGTCAAAACCCTCTTGATTATATTTATATCACTAACACTCTTATATAGGCATATATATATGATTAACCAACACCACTCCAGCACTCATTTCATCAGGTTAAATATCAGATGCGTGATTGGAAAAATAAAGATAGAAGAAATAAATGGATTGTAGCAGCATGAATGAGAGGAAGATGGTAAGTTTAGTAGCCAGTAGTAGATGTGGTGATATGCTGTGAGTTGGTGACATAGTGTAGGTATTAGGTGATGAAGATGAGTTGGGTCAACTCATTGATTTATCATATTGAGAAGATGGATGAAGGAAGGGACGTACCTCGTCGGAGGATTCTCTTCTTAGGATGCCGGTCTTTTGAACTGGAAGAAAAAGGCGTAGATCTAATTGGACGTCGGCGTTTGGCGATTATGGAGCGGGGATAGGGTCTTTGTAGAGCGATTGTCCTTTGCGATTATGAGGTACAATGGTGCTGTGAGAAGTTTCGGCGGGCCTCGCGGGAACCAGGTCGTCTAAAGTACTTGGGTCGTCTGATTGGTGGGTGTAGGAGTGTGGCGGTATGGATTCGAGGAGAGAAGGATAGCAGGTCATCGGTTCAGATTGTGGCTACGACATATAGCAAATGTGAACATATTTTTGTGCCATAATCTAACTTTGAGGGTGGCTCGGAGGGGACTGCGTTGGTCATGGAAGGATTTGCTTTTGAGGATGGTTGGACCACACGGCCGAAGTGCCCTCCAAGGTTGCGTGTTTCTGAAGAGCAATCGATGGCGGTTGCAACCGCTCGACGAGGTGGACTCATGGGCGATGTTGTGGTTAAGAAAGGTACTGAAAGGGAGTGGTTTAAATAGTTGGACAGAGCAGTTGTGGGGAGGGTGGGGTTTCTGGGAGAAAATGGTTTGGACACTAGGGTTGTTTTCGATTGGGTGCATTGTTGGTGGAAGTCGTCAGGTGAAGTACAGGTTTTTCGAATTTGTGGTTAATTTTACCTATTTGTCTTCCGGTCGAGGCGAAAGGCGGAGGCGGTGGTGCGTCGGAGGTGGACGATTGCTAGTCATGACATGTTTCTCAACTGGTGGTTGCCGGATTCATTTTGTGTTGATGGAAGGGTATCGGTTCTAGTTCGAAGCAACTGGATATAGGTTTTAGGCCTCCCGATCCATCTTCAAGGCATTGAGGTGTACCAAGCAATTAGAGATCGCTGTGGAGGCTTTGTGGCAGTCGACAAGTTGATGGAATTACTCGGCTACGTTCGGATGAAGGTTAGGGGCCTGGTCAGTGGGATTCCATCTCAGATCTCAATTCGATGGGGTTCCTGGTGTTACATGTTCATCTGGTCGGAATCTAGGCCAGTGGTGGTTTCTGCTCCGACGCCGGTTGCCACATGGACTGAGAATCGGTTAGGTTTGGCAGGTGCAAAATTAGGGCCACATGAGTCGCGAAAATGGCGAAGGTCAGATGATTCTCAGAGATTGGAAGAACAACGGAAATTTTGCCCTAATTTTCAGTGATTTGGGAACATTATGGGTGATGGTCAACAAAGGTTTGGGTTTAAAGGGCAGGGGCTTCAGGTTATTAGGAGCCCACAAACCCAAAGGCAGATGGGCCATATGGGCCCACAGCTGAGGACTCCGGCCCAAACTGAGCCACATGGAGGTTGAGGCCTTTAGGCATTTGGGCCTATTTGCAGGGGGCCCAACAGGTGCTCTTCATGATTTATCTATGGGTCAAGGCAGTAGCACTGGGCTGGCCTTAATTCTATTGGGCCAAACTTGAAGCAGTCGAGTAAATTTTATGACCTGCCTGTGACACTGGTTTTTGACCTTTTACGTCGCAGTGTGGGCCCGAGTCTCCCATAGGCGCATTCGTCGACAGATACGAAGCAGAATTTGTTGGCAACGAAGCTCCGACTGCCGCCACATCGTGCTAGCTCCTCTATTCATGCAAAGCACCTTGATTCTGAACTTGGTCTGGGAATGGACAGCGTAGGGTCGCAGTCACCACTAGCGCCTAATCAGTTGTTGGATCTGCAGATTGAAGCTTGCAGCGAGGAAGATGAGAGGTTGAACCGTTTTGTTGACCCTGACTTTGGGCCAGATTGTGGCGTTATAGGTGGACGGTGGGCAGATGAGGGCGAAAATCTGTCATTGGCTTTATAATCGTTAGCAATAGAGACAGAGCCAATTGCTACTACTAGGGTTGAGACTGTTAGCGAGACCATAAGGAATGGTTTTAAGGGAGAGAATCTGTTTGGTCCGGGAGAGGTGTCCAACTAGGTGTTGTCGCAAATTCAAGAAGTGAGTTGTTTGCTTGGGGTATCATTTGTTGGGCATGAAAATGAAGCAATGAAGTTGTTTTCGGCTATTGAGGCATCTTGAAGGGGGAGTGCTCATTTAGGGAAACAGTTACATGTTGTTGGGTACAAAGGTAAGGGTGCTAGGGAGTTGAGGAATCTAGAGTGTACTATTAATTATGATAGACGCTCACGAGAAGAGGGGCGAACTATGAGAAAGGATCATGAAAGCCAATCTTTGTTGCCATGCGTTTAAAAATTTTATCTCGGAATGTGCGTGGTTTGAATGGTCGGGGAAATAGGAGGATGCTGAAAGTTGTTTGGAGGAAGGTAAAAGCAGATGTTGTCTATCTCCAGGAGACCAAATGGTACATGTCGATAGGGAGGTAGTTAGAGAGGTGTGGGGGGGTCATCATGTGGATTGGACATATTTATCGGCTGCTAGGGTGGCTGGAGGGGATTTTTATGTTGGGATCAGAGGGTGGTTGAAAAAGAAGAGGAGAAGGTGGGTGGGTTTTCTGTATCATGTCTTTTTCGTTGTATTGGGAACGACTTTCGGTGGGTGTTTACGGGAGTTCATGGTCCGGTAAGGGGGTTCGAGCGGCCTTTCTTTTGGGAAGAGCTTCAGAGTATTGCTTTTCGGTGGTTGGCGCCTTGGTGTGTAGTAGGTGATTTCAATGTGGTGCGTCGGTCAGAGGAGAAATTGGGATTGAGTCCTTCAGTAGGCCCTATGCGGGCTTTTTCATCGTTGATTGATGATTTGGCATTGATTGATTTACCGTTGCAGGGAGGGAGCTTCACTTGGTCAAGAGGCCAGGTGTTTTCTCATCTGGATCGGTTTTTGATTTCTGAGGATTGGGAGGAGCACCTTTCTCAGGTAGTTCGATAACGTTTGGAGCGTCCTGTTTCAGATCATTGGCTGGTGTTATTGGATAGTGGTGGGATTTGGAGTGGTCCAGTGCCATTCCGGTTTGAGAATATGTGGTTGTAATCAGAAAGTTTTATGGATACAATTCGATTGTGGTGGGATGGATACTCTATGGTAGAAGATCCTAGTCGTAGGTTGGCTCAGAAATTAAAGCTTCTTAAGTCTGAATTGCGGAGGTGAAACAAAGAGGTTTTTGGTCGGTTGGAGACTCAGAAGACAAATATTTTGGCGGTGCTACATAGATTAAATGAAAAGGATCT